GTTGTATCTGGCGGCTACAATTATGTCATATATCTGCCAAAACAAGATTAAAACAATCGTGCAAAAGTTTAATTCATTCCAACGATGGGTTCTCATACCCACCGTTTTATGAAGGCTGCAATAGTTTACGTCACTGCGTGACTAACAGAATAATGATCACGACAGCTAACGTGATGCTCACACTTAGGCAAGTACCATATGATAAACGGTACACAAATAATCGTGTTTTTTTTGGAAAACGTAATATAACCTCACGCAATTGATAAAAAATATCCACCGAGATTTTAAACAGTCTAAAGAAACAAAGTGACATAGCTAATTCGTTAACACTTTTAACCATAATGCAGGTTTGCAAGTATTTGTGTGAACAAAAGTAGTAGTCAATGCACTGCGCTCCAAAACAAGCCACCCCGAGTTAAACTCCCAGCCACTGTTCACATCAATGGCGAGTTATACCTGAACTGGTCCTGTGCCTCCGTTAGGTCTACTCAGCCTTAAATAAGGTGTGGTGTGTAACCATCAGCACTGGGGAGACCCAAGGTGGCCCGGCATGGTGCTGGCCACACAACCCCCTTGTGCCCGATTATGGCCTCAACAGGTGCTCGCTAACAGCAGTTACCCCAACAGTCAGTAATTCACCATTTGAATAATTCATAATACAGACTTTTGGGTTTAGATCGCGTTATTTATAAATGTGTCATAACCCTCCACCACCCGACACGGCCAATCAGCAAAAAAAAGTGTCACGTTATTATTTCCCTTCTACGTGACTTTACCGAAAGAACCAAGATGATGAATCCCTGCAGTCACGAAAGCTTTAAATCGATAAAAGACAAATAGTTCACTACTTTAGCCCACCGGTGTGTTGAAGAGTGAATACGCAGCATTGTTTGGCCGTGTCGGGTGGTGGAGGGTTACGACACATTTATAAATAACGCCATCTAACCCAAAAAACCTTTATTATGAATAATATTGGTCGCGAAAGCCTACGTGTTAAACATATGAATAATCTTGCCTTTGCCATGTCAGGGATAAAGTGTGCAACGATTACGGCAATTCACGTTTCATTTAAGGACATGGCGTACGTCGGAGACAAACGGCATCTAAAACCTCCTGTAAGTCGACTCCACCTTTCATGGGTAGTTTCTGTCGTGTGGGACCATTCGCAGTAGCAGCAGGGAGAAGGAGGCGGCCGTTTATGGTTTTGGCCACACGAAACCTCTCTGTGTGCCATGCCGACCTTAATAGGTGCTTGCTAACGGCACTCGCCTCTTGCAGTCCACGAGGCTAAACAAGGACCTTTGTCTTTCGATGTGCCAGGCAGCGTACGAATAGGCAAATCCCACTCCATCGCGCCCGAATGTGGGCAGAGCATATGAGGCGCCCCAGGCAACGCAACAAAGGAAGCGATCCCCTGCACAAAGAAGGCACGCTCAGACAGTGTGCCTTTAAAACTTTAAAATGCAGACACCAAATGCACACAGATGGCAGTAAGCCGTGGGTACCCAAGTCGATTACACTGATGGATTTAGACCACACCTTCTCAGCAAATCACAAGCTCATCGCGCCTCTGTCCATTCGAGAATAAATAAATGCTCAGTTCGGATTATTCGCTTTTGTTCTTTTTGCTTGTGCTACTTAATGTAAAATCCGACGAACAGCTGAGCTGTATGCTGTAAAAAGGCAACACTGTCTTGCCTTACAAAGTGACATTTCAAGCAAATGAAGCCACTGGCCTCATGCACATCCCCCCCATTTCATACGGACCAAAACATGGAATAATAGTATTGTTTTTTACTACTTGTACGGGTCTCTTTTATATTATTCTACTGCTGGATGATGGCCTCGCCACACTGCAGGTTGTAGGGGTTATTGACCATATTTCACCAAGCAGGTCATTGGACATTGAAGACAAGGAATATAGACATGGGATAAAAAAAATAGTCATACTATACAATAAAGGATTTTGCCAACCAGCCTTCTACCGACTACAAAGTAGCCCCATGGTAGCCGATATCACAATGTTTACTGAAGAGTCATCATTTCAAGCACTGTACAGGCTTAATCCTCCTTAGCCTCGAGATCTGACAAGACTGGTGCATTCCGTGTGATTTGGTCAATAGTTTTGTTGTTGTCGTAGAGCTGGAACGGTAAGTGGGTTAAGTCAATTAATCAACAAGAAGTCGTAATGTTTTCAACGTCAAAGCTAGCGGCTGATGATGAAGATGATATCACCAAGAAGCCCTGCCCAACACCTCCACCCCGTTTGATGGTCCATGTGGGAACATAAGCCGTGACTCTTTTCCAATTACAGGATAACCATGATAACTCATTTGTCAAGCGGTAACTGGTTGAGTAATTAATTACCTGCATTAAAGTGCTTGGAAAGTCCAACTCTTGGAGTTGGGGTTAACCAGTTGATTAATCCACCGGTGTCAGCTCGGGGCTCGTAGGTCAACGGTGAAGTGTACAAGAACACTTCACTCCTCTTGTGGCACACGAAAAGAATTAGTTAAACATCATCTTGCAATAACTAGAGCGGAGTAGTAGAAAAAGTGAACTGAAACAACAGGTACAGACAGTACCTGTAAACACTAAACTCTTTAGCCACTCAACACACACAAAGTAGTACGTGTACCAGCCTAAACAATTACACCTAATTGTTTTAATAAGCCGACAGCGCCACAAGGCGAGTGTGAATTACGCCACTTACATTCTATGAAGCTCACAGAGGAAGCCAAAAGATAAAGAAAACATGAATCTCACACCCCAACCAAAAAACCGGACGAACCTTGAAAGAAAACGACATCCGTTAATTAGTGTGCAAGCGACAACTGCACCTTCAAACATAATTCAAGTGTTTTTGGTTAGATCGCATAAATATATGTATCGTTAAACCGGCCACCACCCAACACAGAAAATTACGGTAAGGTCTGTCACGTAAACAGAACGTGGCAATGCTTTACTAGTACAGCACGCCGGTGTGTTGGAGAGCAAAGCCACAACGCATTGCCAATCTGAGTACGACGTTTCGCCAGTAATTACAACCGGCATCATCAGGCAGCAGCCACACTTGTGGAGAAATCCTCCCGTTTCGTTCGCGAAAGCCTTTACGTGTTAAACTGCACCTTCACAAAACATCCGGCTTGCTCTGTGCTTCGTGAACGAGCGGGTGGCTAAAACAACAACGACCTCCACAAATGCACGTGTTGCTCTCGCCAGGGTCAAGGCTTGGCCATCATATACACCTATGGGGTTGGTAAAATGAGTCAACTCCCTGCTGATGCTGCCCTACTTGACAGGCGCATCGAGCGGTGTGATTCCTGCCACACACACACACACACAGAGGAGGAGACTGGACCCCAACCATAGCAACGTGGAATTCCCACACCAACGTGCAAACGTGCAATTCTACCGCAGTACGTGCACTGTTTTGTGCCGTATCATCATTACCAACAAAGGTGATCAATCCACTGCTGGATGTAGTGTGTATTACAGTGTTGTATACACAGTGTATTAGTGCTGTGCACAAGACGATTGTGTATCCAGCAATGCAGTAATGGAGAGCAGTATTGTAGGTACACACTGCACTGTGATGATGTACATTCTTACCACTTAGTCGAGTATACAGTATTGTATACTAAATATTGTAATTATAACATTACCATAATAATGTTTGTATTGAGCTGTGTACAGAACAATGTGGCTAAACAGTACTACACAGTAACCCTAACTACAATGTCAACTACTACACAAGGAATATTCACACAGTAGACTGTAAAGTCGACTGACTCTACTGTGTATTGTACACACACTTGTGTACGTACCATGTATGGGCTAACACGTGGAGTGTAAAGTATATAATGTACAACATTAATGCCGTATCCTTCAAATCTACACAGTGCACTGCATTGCAGAGCATTGCACACGGTAAGCACATTTTCTGTGCTGCATTGTTTACAAAAGTATTTGCTCTATTTCAGACAAAATATAGGCAACTTTAGATAAGCTTATTGTGGACGAAACATAAACTGTAGGCGGTGTACACTATTGTAGGCGCAATACAAGCGAGCGTTATAAAATAACTAATCCGACTGTAAAGTATGCAATCTTTTCGCAACGTATAAAAGTAAAACATTACAAACCAAATTGTAAAGTACAAAACTATTGCAGTGGATGAACGTGCTGTGACCACTATATTGTGCTACACGCAATAAATCGAACACAATACATCATTATACATCACTGTTTACAAAGCATACACTTTATTGTGCATTTAACAGTGCATTGTTTCAAGGTGCAAACTCTATTGTGGCAAAATATAAACTATGAACAAATTATAAAGCCTAAGTGAGGGCGAATTCGGCAATCCCGCAGTCAGTCCAGCACTCACACAAGTTGTAGTAACACTACCACTACACAATGACTTTAACAGTACTGTGCATTGCTTACAAAGTACAGAATGTATGCGTAGACAATGCATAGTAAACTCTGCTGTAGACAAAGTATTAACTCTAGCGCATGCCACGTCTCTAGTGTGTTAGTGTACAGGTCAAGAGTAACGTGTAGCAAACACTGAGTGCCATTGTGCTGTGCGCCATCCACGTGTTTCGCTCAATCACAACACAAACAACAGCCACTTCGTGAACAATAACATCACCACCATCACCACCACCATCATCATCAGCACCATCATCACCAACGACAGCATCGCCACACATCGCAACGACTCTCCCATGCACATTGTCTCGCTCGATCACAAACTACACTGGCCACATTTAAATTGCATTACCACCATCGTCATCAATCACCGTAATAACCACCACCATCATCGCCCGCCGGCAAGCATCACCATCACACATCAACACAAAAGGAGTGCCCACCCCCCAATCGTTCTCTCACCCACGCGTCTCGCTCGACCACAACACAAAGCCACCCACAACTTCAGCTCCACCACCACCACAACAACCACCACCACCATCAAACCACGCGCCACTGACCTCTCGCCGGGGGCCTCCAGCACTGTCACTTCGGGGATGGCCGTCATCATTCCCCCGTGACAAGTCGAGCCGAGGGTGGCCGAGGTCTTTGCGGGTGACCCTGGTGCCGGGTGACCTGGGTCCGTGAGATCCGATCCGGGAGAGCTGGTCCCAGAGAGCTGGTCCCAGAGAGCTGGTCCCAGAGATCCGATCCGAGAGAGCTGGTCCCAGAGATCTGGTCCCAGAGACCTGGTCCCAGCAGCTGAGAGTCTGGACTTTGGGGGCGTGTGGTCCTGGGACTAGGAACGAGTGACACTCCTGTGCCCTGAGACCACCAAGATACTGGGACCTAGCCTGCGAGCCGGAGACCAAGAATCCGTGACTTGGAACCCCGTTAGCCGGACAACTGGGACCCGTTAGCCGCGGTTAGAACCCCGTTACTTCACACGAGGATTCGTTAATCGAGATTTGGACCACGCTAACCTGACCCTATGACCCGGTACGCGGGGACGAGGATCCCCTTACACAGAGAACTGGAATCCGTTAAGCGGATTTGGACCCCCGTTACCTAACCCGGGACGTGGTAACCCCGTTAAACTGAGGACCCGTTTCACCGGCGGTCTGGAAACCGGGATAGGGGGAACTAAACCCTCGGGAAGCTGCGATCAGGAACTCGTTAAGCTGGGGGGGGGACCTGGGGGGGACCTGGGGGGTGGTGGTGGAGGAGGAGGGGGGGGTCCTGGGGAACAGACCGAACGGGAGCGACCGGGAGCCACCACCACCGCCGCCGCCGCCGCCGCTGCTGCTGCTTGGAGCCCGGCGCGGTGAGCACAGCTGATCGCCCCACAATGCAGCGCGGCGACACCAGGGGCAGTAGCGAGTGCACTCGACGCGATCCGATTAACGCGATTATTGAATTATAGTCGCGATCGATTCCCGAATCGATTCCTTTTTTTTGTTGGGGAAGGTGAAATTAAATCTTGATTTAAAGCTTTCGTGGCTGCAGGAATTCATACTCTTGAGTCTTTCGGTTAAGTCACGTTAATAAAATAATAATAGATAATAACGTGATTGAAACGTCGTGATCTATTTACGTGACTTTACCGAAAGACCCAAGACTATAAGGTTACATTAATTTAAAAAAATGCCAAACCAAAAACAAATCGTCAATAACACTTGCATCGAAAGTAAAAAGCACATGAATAAGGGTCATTGCCCGAAAAGTCGCCCGATTATATACATATTTTTTTTCTTTCAAAGCAGTGTTTATTGACTAAAATTGTACAGCAGTGACTGGATGATTTGTATTAATACAAAAATATGTGTGGACCAATGACATACATCATACATTTATCATGATCTTATGATCTATCTAACAGAGAGGATCCTTGCCAGACATATATCTGGCAGCTAGCATTTGTTTTAGACTCACCTTGCCGATGAGACACTGGATGTGGAAACCGGTGGAGCGTTTTACAGGTCTTAATTTTGGAGCTTTCGTGACTGCATGTGTGTTGACCCGACCATATTTTGTTGACCTAACTCTTCATTCTTCAACACGTGATTCAGATGGAACCATAATATAGCATACAGTAGCGACAAAATATAACGAATGAGTCACGGTAGAGACAATCATTAAACTAGTGGAGGAATTAAATGCAGGTGCAGCACAACAAATAATTATACACCCCTGGAAACAGCATTTGTGGGGTGATGAAGAAACTGTTTTATATGTCACACCTGAAGAGATCGTGAATAATAAAGGAAAGTTCGTGGATCAGATGGAATAACTACAGATGTAATTAATTCATCACAACCGACTGTTGGAGCAATATTCGATGTATATTTAAGCAAATTAAATACCACAATCGTGGAATGATAGACAATTTAATATTTCTGTTGGGAGGAAAACCATTGGAAAACACCTCAAAGTGTGTATACCGATGGCAGTTATTGAAGGTGTGCTGGATTAATAGTGATTAATTAAATAGGCAGATGAAGGCATCCTCGAGTGCTGTTCAAAAACTGAAATCAATATTGGAAAAACAACACACCTATGTGTGTGTGTGTTTAACCAGTGTATATTACTTGCTATGACATGGAACAGAAACATGGACAATTAAAAATAAAATGGAATCAAAGCTGAAACGTGTATAAAAAAGCATCGGGATGTCATGCTGGGAATTACAATGAGAGACAGCGAAACACAATTTGGAGACATATTGACTGTTAAAAAAACGTGGACCAAGAACAGGTCCATGTCACGGTGCTCGAAAGTGGCAGCCAAAGGTGGGAACATGCCCAGTGGACGTCAATTTCAGAGATGGAGTGATTAAATCAGCTTGGGGGCAAGAACTTGAGGGATTGTTGCCCGACAATACACACTCCGAGGTGTTTTCCAGTGGTTTTCCTCCAACAGAAATATACAATTTTCTATCATTCCACGATTGTGGTATTTAACTGATTTGGACATATGTGACAAAGAGCTTCATAGTTCATAGATTTCCTTCAGTAACACATTCCTGCGGAGGGAGCTGCTGGTAGGAACGTTGGGTTGCTCGGTCAATGGCCAGGGTCAACGGCGGCGTGGTGTATTCCGCAAATATGCCCGACTGTGAGGGCGGGCACAAGCCGGCGTGAGTAGGTTAAAAGTTGAGTTTATAAGGGCACCATGGGGTGACCAGCCCCTCCCCACCCACCCCCCACCCAGCACCACCCAGCCCCACCCTCCCCACCCAGCCCCTCCCCACCCTCCCCACCCAGCCCCTCCCCACCCTCCCCAACCAGCCCCTCCCGACGCTCCCCTCCCCTCCCCACCCAGCCCCTCCCCACCCTCCCCACCCAGCCCCTCCCCACCCTCCCCTCTCCACCCAGCCCCACCCCTCCCATATTTGGATGTACGACGGACGGACGGACACAATAATCCCCTGTGGGCTGGTGGAACCAGGTGGTTCCTACCAATAATAACAAATCCTGTATACTGATTTTGACAATATCGTGAAGGATGGCGACGGCCTTCCTCCAGCAGTGGTTAGATCATGGCTCACGATGATGATTATGTAGCACAATAAACTACAGGAATCAAATACAGTAGTAAGACTGACCCATCACACTGCTGCTGTTGTTGTATACCTACTCTTGATAAGGATGATGCTCACATAATATATGAAGAGACATTTAAAGCGTTCCCCACGGTCAATACTTTGCGAGGAAAACTACAATGTTGCTTGCACTGTACATACACTTAAAAATCAGATTATATATACGCTGGTCAGCAGTGCACATTCAGAACATGGCATATGACTCAACAGGGATGCTTTAAATACATGGTGTGCAATTTGGGATAATGATCCTTGGCAAGTAAATATCGTAATAACAATTCCCAGCCCTGTTTCAGTCCACCGCTGTTGGGTTTATTTAGTTGTAACATATTTCACCACGATGGTTTGAGATGGTTAAGGGAGGATCCAAGTCCACTTCAGATATCACTTGGGCCCGGAATTGAACTCAGGTTCAGAGTTCATAGCGCAGTGTGCAAACCACATAGCAATCGCTCCACCTTCTTGGTAATAGTGTTACAGTAATTTGTTTACAATACTTTCGTGCAATCACAATCCTGCAATACTGTTGTGTTAATGCTATTGCGTGACACTATCGGTCATAGAATATAATTTCTAATTATCTATGAGCCGCCACACAACGATGAAATACACCATTTATCATAAGACGTAAATTATCACACTGTTGTGTGCTATTAACATTCACTAACAATTATGTTAAATGCTGCTTATTGATGGCAATTATTGAACGTTCCGTGACGTCAGCAGACACGATTATCGTGTTTCATCACGTGGCTTGCATGTATAGATTTCATCTTGTGACCAAAAAGTGCAAGCAAGTGTATTTTTGGCACATTCGCACAAGTAGGCATGATGTCAGAGTGTTTCCAAAGAGTGATACCTATATCAGATAACAACCTTGAAAGAGAATTACACATCCACAAACAATGTGAGGCCTCACGCACGAAGTATGTTACGTTGGTCTTTACACCCTTAGGTAATTAATTGGCGTCTGATATGACTTTGCAAAGCTGGCTGGTTGGATAAAGCAGCTCAAGGGAAATTACCTTCAGTTGCTACCTTAATGAAGTGTCATCTCTGGAACATTTTCACTGATGTTTATACAACTGTTCTAAGCTTCCTATGTGTAAGTAGTAGTTGTTGTTGTTTTGATTTACCCCCAGGATTTGATTGTCACCATGATGTTTACAGATGTATTCAAGAATAATTTGTTTTTACATGAAGGTGAATGTAGTAGCCATTTGAGTCAGGATTACCCCATTAAATATAACTTGCATTAATCAAAAACATATATTCTTAAACACGTGATTCAGTGCATGTGTCGTTGAGCTTAATAATCAATATTAATTGATGACTCCATGCATCGTTACACACCTCTCGTAACAAGTCACAACATTCATTTGGAACAAATGAAAAAAACGTCACATTGTTAAAGTTTATTTTGTTACATGGATGATCCCGTTTATCCAATTTCCAGGCTATTTAACAAGGGAGACCCGTGATGCGTGAGCATGGCAACAACAACAAAACAAAGACATCAATATTGCAGGGAACGAGTACACAGGCTCCTTAAGGGATATTGCACAACTAACAAAGGAGGTATTTAACGATCCTAAAGGAAACACAAATCAAAAACAGTGCAAATATAATAATAAGAAAAAGTTAAGTGGTGTAAGCTTAGTCTAACAGTGACAAACACACGTACAGAAAAGCCAATGCCTAGATTAATATGATGTGGATATCTGTGTCAATCTTATCTTTGGCTGATTTGGGCAGTGTTAGTACTCTTCACAGTAGGAAGGGCCATTGTTCTTAACATTAGCCTTTTAGAGTTTATTATTTAACCATGTTTCTGTTAAAAGGCAGTGTTAATTGTGAATGTGGTGAGGCTTTTTTTATTTGTAATCATGTACAATTGCAAATAATATCCATTCATACTTTACGTTTTTACCATGGAAGATGTGTAATGCACGTTTGCAAATTCAAAATGTAATTTTTTCAATTTAAATAAGTCAGCTGAGGGCGCATCAAAAAAAAATAACACCAGCTCCTCCAGAAAAGGTTATGCGTTACAAACGTCTATATGTGTCCACTTCACCTTACAACGATGTTTGTTCATTGGCATGAGATCGAGTGGCTTCATCCCCTGGCGTATGGCAAATATTTAGTGGCTTTTTCTTCCTGCCATATTTCTCAGTCGTGGGGTCTGGATTCCTGATCCTCTTTCACCATTCATTCCTGTCCTGGGCCACCTTCACGTCCACGCCACGTGTTTGTATAACGGAAACACCATGCAATAATTAAATACCTGCAAAAATAACAGGTTGTAAAGATGACAAGTACAACACACTGGATCATCTAAACTGGTCATTTAAAAAAATGTTTGGAAAAAAACAATTTGTACAAATGTTACTTGTGTTTGCGAATCTGTTTTGACTGGACTGTTGGCTGCTCCATGATTTGTTTTTACTTGGCCTGGCCAACTCGTATCACGACACAGTCCTTCAAGGACGCCAGCAGTGCTTAGATGTGGCCAGCAAATGCAATCGTGGATGCAACACAAGGAGAGATAAAAATATTTTTTTATGAAATGTTTACATCGGAAATTTACAGAGGCGGGTATGTTGATTCTTCAGTTACATGCGTGACTGTGACTCAGGCACAGCGGAACGCTTTTAATCAGGGTAGACTAAAATAGACTGCATTACTGCATATACAGTATAGAGAATATAAATTTCATAGAGTTGGAAAAATTCAACACAATACCGTACAGGCACTGTATAATAATTGAGATCTCTTTGCCAAAATATCACTGCATGAAGGCCTAGCCTGTGTTGTCGTCAAGGCGGTTATTTCGCTATACGACAACACAATGGTCAGTGCAGGCCAGTTGTGAAGGGGGGTCAGGGAAAGGTTCAGATATCACTCACTACTCATGTTCACTCGTGGCTGGAAAATAAACCTCAGGTGGCCGAGTTTATCAGTAAGATATATAAGTAGCAAACACACATTCTCCTGAGCACAGGATGATGGCAACGGCTGTGGTAATCCCAAGGTCTTTGGGAGAGATTAATACTATTACAGTACAGCACTGTAATAGTATTAATCGTCTCAAATTCCATTATGCCAAATGCACTGCGTTGTAGCTTTTCAAGTCACATTGCTGATGTCTGTGGAACATTTTTCACGATTGCATTTGTTACGTACACTCAGTTACACACCGTCTATAAGAAACAAAACTGAGACATTTGTAAAGTGCCAAATTTCTCAAGATTGTCATATTATGTGCCATCAAATATCAAAGTGACCGTACAAAAACTGGTTATTACAAATGGTGGACATGCAATTACCAAATAAACCATGTCACCGTTGGCCCAACGTTGGCATTTGGTTGGCCCAAGGTTGAGACATAGTTGGCAGAGTTGGCCAAACGTTGGAATATGTTGGCGCAACGTTGAATCAACGTGTGTATGTTGTTGGCCCAATGTAAAACCAACGTTGGCATGCTGGTTGTAACCTTTGACCTAACGGCCAAACGTCCCATTTTTACTGGGTATAGGCTGCAAACACCTTCGTTTGTAAATATATATTTGTGTATGTCTAATTGTATTCACGTTTCACCTTGCAAACCTACCAACAGTTGTACACCTATTTTTTACCATCATCACCAACTCCTTATTTTAGACCAGGTGAGAGCCTTTGGACAGCAAACGATGCTTTTGATAGCATTAAACAAAAAATACTGGGGCATCATCATCAGTCTTGGTCAATCCACTGCTGGATGAAGGCCTCCCATAATATAATATAATAATCCACCTCGCCCCTGCATACGAACTAATGTCATTGCTCCATCTCCTCTCTGGATGCCCTCTCTGGGATGCGTTCCAGTCCTTGGATATCAGTTAAATTACGTGACCATCAGCCACCCTCCAAAAGCCAAATAATGTAATATAAAGCCGGCATTAATGTTTCAATTGAGACTTTTGATTTCAAATTTATATTAAATATCATACTGGAAACTATGTACGTGATAATTAATGTGAATTAGACTGTCTGTGGTTATCAGCGTTAATTTAGAAACGTCATTAACATGTCATGTACTATTACATGGCCATGGCATTAAAGGACACAAAACAAAAAATCAGGATGCATTATCAGCCTTATTTAGGCTACATCCCACGACGTCATTATACTAATATGCTACCCGACTAATTAATGCTCCGAGACACACTCCTGTTAGTCACAATAATTGGTAAATTGTGACCTCGGTACAGTGCCATGTGAAAAGTATAATTAACATATCAACATTATGTTCACGTAAATACGGTGTCGCATTAACCGTGCCGTATTCTCCATATGTAGAGGCGCACTTATCTCCCTCCCCCCCCCGACCACCGTACATGTAATTTTCAATCACGAGTTGAGGGTGCGTCTTTATAACCCCGCAGGTGAATGTGTGTGACAATCTTTGCGTAACAAAAATAAGAAGATAAGTTTTTGTTTTACCCTTTCAGGCGTTAAGATGTTCAAACGCCAAATAGAAACCATTTTGCAAGGAACCATGTCTGCATTAATCACACGGTGAACATGCAAGCACAACATATGCTCTGATAATTATGATACATGGCATTGTATTTGCAACTGATTGGCCTACACTAGAGACAGCAGCCTTCTTTATATCAGAGCAGAGAACGCCAAAAGATGAACAGTACAAAGACAATCGGTTACAAAGACTGCCATATATGATTATCAGAGCATGTTTTGTGTTTGCATGTTCACCACAATGGATGTGTGTGGTTAATGCAGACTTGATTCCCTGCAAAATGTATTCTATTTGGTGTTTGAACATCGTTAACCCCTGTCATCTCAGTCAACCGACCCCATGGCACCTGCTGGGTCTGCCCCGACACCTCCGCCTGTCAACAGCGAGCTTTCGACACTTCACGTGGTGGCCTCAAAGTGCACCTGGCCTGGCACAGGCGCCGTGGTGACATTTAGTGGCGAATGACGATTTTATTGGCCTTAGTGGTGGAGGGTGGTGGTGGGGGGTACAGCAGCTGGTGGTGCATTGAGGGGGGTGGTGGTGGTGAATTGGTGGTGGTGGTGGGTACAGCTGGTGGTGCATAGAGGTGGTGGTGGTGGGTACAGCTGGTGGTGCATAGAGGGGGTGGTGGTGGGGTGGTGGTGGGGGGGGTTTGGTTGGGGAGGTGGGGGGGAGGGTTGGTTGGGGGGGTGGGGGGAGGTTTGGTTGGGGGGGTGGGGGGAGGGTTGGGGGGTTGGGGGGAGGGTTGGTTGTGGGGGTGGGGGAAGGGTTGGTTGTGGGGGTTGGGTTGGGGGGTTGGGGGGGGTGGGAGGGTTGGTTGGGGGGGTGGGGGGAGGGTTGGTTGGGGGGGTGGGTGGGGAGGGTTGGTTGGGGGGGTGGGGGGAGGGTTGGTTGGGGGGGTGGGGGGGAGGGTTGGTTGGGGGGGTGGAGGGAGGTTTGGTTGGGGGGGAGTGGGGGGAAGGTTGTTTGGGGGGTGGGGGGAGGGTTGGTTGGGGGGGTGGGGGTAGGGTTGGTTGGGGAGGTGGGGGGGGGAGGTTTGGTTGGGGGGGTGGGGGTTGGTTGGGGGGGTGGGGGGGAGGGTTGCTTGGGGGGGTGGGTGGGGACGGTTGGTTGGGGGGGTTGGTTGGGGGGGTGGGGGGAGGTTTGGTTGGGGGGGTGGGTGGGGAGGGTTGGTTGGGGGGGTGGGGGGAGGGTTGGTTGGGGGGGTGGGGGGGAGGGTTGGTTGGGGGGGTGGGGGGGAGGGTTGGTTGGGGTGGTGGTGGGGGGGGTTGGTTGGTTGGGGGAGTGGGGGAGGGTTGGTTGGGGGGGTGGGGGGAGGGTTGGTTGGGGGGGTGGGGGAGGGTTGGTTGGTTGGGGGTGGGGGGGAGGGTTGGTTGGGGGGGTGGGGAGGGTTTGTTGTGGGGGTGGGGGAAGGGTTGGTTGTGGGGGTTGGTGGGTTGGGTGGGGGGGTTGGGGGGGGTGGGAGGGTTGGTTGGGGGGGTGGGGGGAGGGTTGGTTGGGGGGGTGGGTGGGGAGGGTTGGTTGGGGGGGTGGGGGGAGGGTTGGTTGGGGGGGTGGGGGGGAGGGTTGGTTGGGGGGGTGGAGGGAGGTTTGGTTGGGGGGGAGTGGGGGGAAGGTTGTTTGGGGGGGTTGGGGGAGGGTTGGTTGGGGGGGTGGGGGTAGGGTTGGTTGGGGAGGTGGGGGGGGGAGGTTTGGTTGGGGGGGTGGGGGTTGGTTGGGGGGGTGGGGGGAGGGTTGCTTGGGGGGGTGGGTGGGGACGGTTGGTTGGGGGGGTTGGTTGGGGGGGTGGGGGGAGGTTTGGTTGGGGGGGTGGGGGGAGGGTTGGTTGGGGGGGTGGGGGGAGGGTTGGTTGGGGGGGTAGGGGGGAGGGTTGGTTGGGGTGGTGGTGGGGGGGGTTGGGAGGGTGGGGGGCGGGTTGGTTGGGGGGGGTGGGGGGGAGGGTTGGTTGGGGGGGTGGGGGGAGGTTTGGTTGGGGGGGTGGGGGGAGGTTTGGTTGGGGGGGTGGGGGGGGTTGGTTGGGGGGGTGGGGGGAGGTTTGGTTGGGGGGGTGGGGACGGTTGGTTGGGGGGGTGGGGGAAGATTGTTTGGGGGAGAGGGTTGGTTTGGGGGGGTGGGGGAGGATGGGTTGGGGGGGGTGGGGGGGAGGGTTGGTTGGGGGGGTGGGGGAGGGTTGGTTGGGGGGGTGGGGGGGAGGGTTTGTTGGGGGGGTGGGGGGAGGTTTGGTTGGGGTGGGGGGAAGGTTGGTTGGGGGGGTGGGGGGAGGGTTGGTTGGGGGGAAGGGTTGGTTGGGGGGTGGGGGGGAGGGTTGGTTGGGGGGTGGGGGGAGGGTTGGTTGGGGGGGGTGGGGGGAGGTTGGTTGGGGGGGTGGGGGGAGGTTTGGTTGGGGGGGTGGGGGGAGGTTTGGTTGGGGGGGTGGGGGGAGGTTTGGTTGGGGGGGAGTGGGGGGAAGATTGTTTGGGGGGGGAGGGTTGGTTGGGGGAGTGGGGGGGTTGGGTGGGGGGGTTGGGGGGTGGGAGGGTTGGTTGGAGGGGTTAGGGGGGCATACTCGCGAGTGTACGGTAATCACGTCGCGTTCCTCATTAGCATAACATCGCGAGACTTGGTGGCCACGCCCCCCGCTCCTCGAAGGAGTGCGCGCGGTGGTCTCTCGCCCAACATGGCGGAGTACCTGGCGTCCATCTTCGGCACGGAGAAAGACAAGTGAGTAGTGGCGTCTTCACGAAGCTCTCTCGTCTTCCTCGCTCGGGGCTGTCGCGGCGGAGCGGGCGGGCGAGCGGTCGGTCGCTGTCGGTGGTGAGCGGCTGCCCTCGGCGCGGCAAAGGCCTCGAGCGTGGTGGCGCTCCCGCCCACCCCACCATGGCTAGCCTAGCGTAGGCCTAGGCGGCATTCGGTGAATTAAATTGTGAATATTACGACGATTATTGTTGTTGTTACTAATTGTGGCTGTACTGCAGTAAATCCATGGGTTGTCCAAAGTCTCGGTGGTGTGCGCGTGCGATACGGAGCCGTCTTTGCAATGGGCGATGTTACTCCACACACACGTGTAGCGTGCACGGCGGTGTCGTGGCCAGCGCACTGGATTTGCGATCTTGTGGGTCGCCGGTTCCATTTCATCTCCCGATGGGGAAGCTATAAACTAAATCTCCCTACCTCACGCCACGCAGCAGAATATTTCGTGGAGATCACGTGTGGTTTGGCAAAGTGCGTGGTTACTCTCGCCTCGAGCAAAGACGTATCAGGCCAGCGTGGAAGTGAAGTCAATTGTGTTGTCGCTTAAACACGTGGCGCCTTTCTGGCACAAACATCTGCCACCCAAAGCGCAAATTAGTTGAGTGCAAATACCACAGAAGGCCTCTCTTGAGCTCCCTTCAGTGGAGGCTGCGCTTGCAGCAGGCGCGTGAGCAAACAATTGCAGCGAATGTAATAACACCGCATTGTGCCGGTTGTCAGATTTCAAAGGCTACGCACGGGTGAGCCTTGAACGAATATGAACAATGCTACGCACAGTTTCGCAAACAGAGATATCATGTAGCTACAGGTCTATGTAATGGGCAGTAGAGAGCAGTGAACTCTATCGTACTGTACCATTTTGTCTGGCGTTCGCAAACCCTCACTTGGCAGCGTGGCGAAGTCTGGTCAAATATATCCCGCATGTCCGACGCAGCGTGGGGAGGCCTTCATGCAGCAGTGAAGTTGACATGAGGGTTGGAAATGTACAAATCAAAAATCGGGGTGGCCTTCATGCAGCAGTGAAGTTGACATAAGAGTTGTAAATGTACAAATAAAAAATCGGAGTGGCCTTCATGCAGCAGTGAAGTTGACATGAGGGTTGTAAATGTACAAATAAAAAATCGGCCAAACCATCACCGTTATTAATGTTTTAAACAAAAATATTACTCCAGTCAAAGTGTTTCCAAAATTGTGGGGCGTTGCTGATCTGTTTAGTCTCAGATTATTCGTATAATACTGAATACACGTTTCTAATAGCGGAAAAGTCTTCGAAATGATAACCAGTGTTGATATCACAAAGTGGCATTTTATTTCATTGACCGCAAAAGGTTGATTCAAGTCTGCTCTCGAATACGATTTGACCTTAAAGATTCTGATTGTGAGCCTATTAATTGTAACATAACATGTACATATTCAGCCCTTTTGTATACGTCGTGCAGATTGTGGAGGTTATATTGGCATACTTCACTCAGTACGGGTTGAAGGCAGGGAGCATTGAAATATATAGTACGTTACTGCACAATGGATTTTTTTCTGTACTTTAATCTGCTGTTCACGTAGCCCCCGAGTTCCAATCGTAGTCATGATGGTGACCCATCTAAAAACAATCCGGGTGCAACACTACTCAGCTTTCGAGATTGGGCCAATTCTGAGTGATTTGGTCTTAGGCAGCACAACTACGTTGAAATAAAAATACCTTGTAAGACATATCTGTAAATAATGTTGGCTTCCCACAGAGTTGTGTTATTCTAATTGATTGTATTCTGGGTTGAATCAACCACCAACTGGGATTTGAACTCAATGCCTACAAATTGTCACATCCTGTTCTTTGGGTCTTTCGGTAAAGTCACGTAGATAGGTTTAAAGAAAACAACAAAAAACTACGACGTTTCGAACGCAACTGAAGACGACCGCTTGTGTTGCGATTGAAAAACGTAGGTTGTTGTTATTTTCTTGGAACCTATCTACGTGACTTTACCGAAAGACCCAAAGAATATTAATTTCTGCAGTCAAGAAAGCCTTAAGTTAAGATGTGTCACATACAGCTTCTCGCAGTGCCTTCCAGCTGGACACTTTAATACAGTTTGAAGACTATTGAGCCAGATGGGTTAATTTTAGGGTTCTCCTGACAATAATCCGTTTTAAGTCGCCTGTAATTGTAGCCCAATGCTACAGGTGACACATGGCGTCAGGATGTGATGCGGGGCATAAACGACCGGGCCGTCTCAGATTGCCGTGTTGGTAACCTGAAGAGGGGTTTCTCGTGTTTCTTTGTCGTGTGCCACTTTGCTTTGTGTCAAGCACAGCGTTGTACGTGCCGCCAAGTGTGTGCGCGCGTGCGATTTCACGGCCAAGCCATTACACTTCGCTTTATGTTGTCGGCCGACCTTCTGCACATGTCGTGGTCTTTGTTCTCGTGTCATAGTTTGTTTGACATTTCAAGTGCAAATGTTCACCTTATTTGCACGCTATCGGTTCACTGTGTTCTGTTTGAACTAGCGGTGTTAATTTGAATTAAACAAATTGGCGATACTGCATTGGCACTGGTGCTTAATCACAATTAAGACAAAAACTCTTAACACCTTCCTCAATAACACTGGCCTTTCCTTCATATCACAAACGGTGCAGTGCACTTAGTTATTTCCTGTTCTGATGACGTACGTGTGTACATAATCAGTATTCCTTCCGATTCCGTTCAGATGACATACGTGTACGTCATCGGAACGGAACCAGAAGAAAAACTGAAATAAAATAACTTTATTGGTACCGAGACTCCCACAAGGCCATGCGGGAAGGTGTGTTTTGGAACAGTTTGGCGCCATCTATCATAGAGTACGGGCAGGTTGCTACAGTTCTCTGTGGTGAGCATGGCGCTATGCCTCTAAATAAAATTAACGCTGAACTGCTTGCGCGTTCTTGAGATTCAACGGTGATAAGGACCCACCCTGCAACTTGCAGTTGTCTCGAAATGAGTAAGGGTTAAGACGGGTATTTGCACTCCATGGCCAGCACTGTGTACACTAACGCACGGATTGCAATTCCACTGTGAAGCCCTTGATGGCTTGCGACCGCCCATTTCTGAAAACTGCCTTGCCCCTGTGTATTTTAGTCCACTTTTCTGAGCTGTGACGTCTCTTCTCAGGGTCAACTGCTCCTTCTACTTCAAGATCGGTGCCTGTCGGCATGGTGACCGCTGCTCACGCCTGCACAACAAACCGACCTTCAGCCAGGTTCGACTGGCACAAGCAACTCAAGCCATTTGGTCGTGCTTTTTAACTGCGCTTGATTTAGTGTGTAAAGTGTTGCCAGTGTACGTAATCTTAATTTGATTACTTATATTAACATCGATTCCGACACTCTTGTTACGTGCATCAAATTGTGGATGTAAGAATTTATTTATTTATTTATTTGTGAAGATCTTGCTTATTACAGAGAAACCCATCTTATCTGTGCTTATAAGAAGGACAACTATAGGTGGATATTGTTATTGGTGTTTATCCATGTAGTTTAGTACTTTCATCCACGCAAATTATTGCCGATTAACGTTTATAATGGGACGCATTGGCTGCCACTTCCTGGTCGTGCTCGTTGGAGCACAGGTTGAATGACCTTTGGGAAATTCCAGGATCAGATTAAAGTAAAATTTGAGAACAGTTTGGAACAATTTATTACGGCAGATAATGGGAAGAACGGGTCATGGAGTGGATGAGAGAATCTTCAGTTTATATGCTAATGTTACATTGAGGTTAATGGAACAAAAAAAACTCCTACACAGATAATGTAAAATATAAATGAAATGACAATATGATTTATAAATCTGAAACTTGATCTCAAACTGTGACAGATGATTGAATTGTGTGGCCGGTGGATTATTACACGACTAATATAAAACACCAGGCAACCATTCATGCAACGCCACACTATGTTGAAGATTAGTACCTCCAATTAGCATGGTTGACTACATACGATGCGAAAGAAGTTCTACATGCATGATATGTATACAGGTAGTCCTCTACTTACGATGGAGATGCGTTACGACGACCCCATCGTAAGTCAAAAATATCGTAAGTCGAAGATGGCTTAGCCTACCCAGGAGTCTTAAAGAATGGTGATAATTTAGCAAAACAGAGCAATTTACAGTACCGGACTGTATAAACTATATACTGTATGTATTATTAATTACAATACTGTATTGCACAGTAAAATGTAAAGTAAAAAAAACAAGGTAAATTCTTAGCCTACCTATATGAACTGCAATTTAATAGAAAGTCTTTTCAGGACACAATCCTATCTGAATCACACAAGGCGGGAGATGCGTACATCCCGGCAGCGTTCACAACGTACAGTATCGTACAATTTTGTCGTATCGCCATCGTTAGATCGAAATATCGTAAGTCGGACCATCGTAACCCCGGACTATCTGTATATACCAAACCCACCCTGTGGTTTATCTGCTTTAAAAAATGCTGTTGAAAACATTGATACAGAATGCCAGTAGGCTGACTGACCTACAGTGAAATGTTACTCTATATATTTTTTGACAAAACACCCCTCGTCTTTCACGTCTTTCTATGCAATGATGTTAATTGTGCAATGTATGATGACTCCGTGTTGTACTAATTGTCATGAGGTGACCCTGTGCAACAGACCATCTGCCTGCTGAACCTGTACCAGAACCCACAGAATGTGGCCCAGACGGCCAACGGGACAACCTGTAAGTACTGCGTCACCGGGGCCTGTACATATTCAGCATCGGGGCCCACATTTCGAGACGCACTTGTTTCAACACATCTACACATGATAACCAGTGCAGGGAATTACCAAAGTGTGCCACCTGCTGTGATGTAAATAATGTTTCAGGGTATTTCAGATTGGCAAGCAAGTTGTAGTTTGTGCTGGGGCCGAGTGATGGGCACCAGAAGGCAGTTGCATAAAAATTCATTTTTGCTCTGTAGGTATATGCCCAAACATATATGCGCACCCCACCTTTACCATTCTTCACTGGTCATGTATGGCCCAATAACCCTGAGAACCCTCGAGGCCTTCATCCAGCAGTTGCTTGACAAAGGACTTCACCCATATCCTCTCATATTTTTATTTCCCATACGTGAGAAATGGATGAATGGTATTGGAGTAATGAAAGAACATGAGTAAATGATATTGGATAGTAAAATAAATAATACAAACGAAATGTACGCCCTCTTCTGGACACAACTTTTCCAGTTCTCTTTTAAAATTGGCAAATAGAGGTTGGTTCGTGGACATTGAAGTGTTGTGTTTTGAGCCGCTTAACGCTACCACCCTGAGGCAGACATGCTCATTGCATCTTTACGAACACATGGACTCCATCATCGGAGCAGAATCGCAATTACTCTCGGAAGAAAACACGTGGAAAGAATCTGTATTTTTCAAGTTTTTGCAAACGTGATTGTTATTATTATTGTTATGCTTGTTTAACCAGGAAAGCCTCCGTGAGTCTCAACTCTTTTTCAGGTTGATCCTGCCAAACTTTCGCAGCGGCGACAATCGCTATGCGTAAACGAATTTAGTTATTCGGGGGGTAAAATGAAAAAAAAATTGCGCCATGACACCGATATAAAATTTCTAGCTTTCGTGATGACATCACGGCGTGTTTAACGTTTACCGTTAAGCAGACTGCACGTATATTTTTGCGGTTAGTACTTCCCCCAGTAATAACCGGGATGGCCGTTGGATTGCAACCATGAACCTCAACAACGCACTACAGCTGGGCCATGTGGCCGCCCCCTTGTGCGGATTGCATTCCTTTGACACGCGTTTGACACGAGCATGTGACATCTGCTGCAGGTATGATCAGCGATGTCGAGATGCAGCAGCATTATGACGACTTCTTCGAGGTCAGTGAGTTTGCATTTGAATGCGTGTGTGTGTGTGCGCGTGTTCGACACTTCACGTGGCCTTAACGTGCGCGTAATCTGACACAATTGCCATGGTGACGTCAGCGCCACTTAGTGTTGTACAACTTAAGCATCTTTATTTAGACTGTCCAGTATGAGCAGGTCAGCAAGTTACAACAGCAAGCAATACAAACAAATGATAGGGACTGGAAAATCTAGTAATGAATCATAAAGAAATAATGTGTTGATTAATTATATAAGTCCGATTTATCAAGATTTGGAAAGGCAGCAAAAGCAACAACTAAACCAGACCACACCAAGATAAACACACAGCCCCTCAATATAAAGGTACATTAACATTGAAGTATAGACACACGGGCAATGATCACATTGGCAAATGTTTATGTAAGCATATAGCTATGGAGGCCTTGCGATAAACCATATCCATAAATGACAGTTACATGCATATTCCAGCATTTACCTGAGCCAAAGGTGCATTAGTTGTCGCTGTTGTATGGGTTTGTAGTTATTTGCAACGTTTTGTTGAAAATACTGGCATTGTGTACACAGCTGTCCTGTGATTGTAGTTCCTCCCAGAACAAATTGGAAGGTAAATGCCTCAAGCGCATTACTAGAGATTGTTTTAATAGTCGTTCTACTTATATTACATTGTATTAATTTCATGTTATTTTGTGTAGTACTGTATCATATTCCATCAATTATTTTTTTGAAACAAAAGCCCTCCAAAACATTTGTTTTATTATTACGTATGCTAATGACCTTACATATACAGTGGATAAAAAAATATGAATCATTGTCTGAAAGAAAATTGAAGCCTGCGGAAACAAAGCGATTACAGCTCAAGTCATTGTGTGCATGAGGATAATGTAACAATGCTTTGTTAATGCCTTGAATATCTTACTGGGTTTGGCGATTTGTTCCAATTGCACCTGCACAGACCGTAGCCAGGGCATGCATATAGGCCGTCTCTTGTGGATGCACGCTGCCTTGCTGTCCAATTTAATGTATGTACTCACGAAATGCATACAATTGGGCATTGCGCGAACGGGTGTGTTGGCGAGTTCAGTAGCCGGCGTGCGTGCTGCGTTGCGGTCGAGGAGTGGCTCAACGTCATTGTTGCTAATGCCTCCCACCACCGACAGGAGGTGTTTGTGGAGCTGGAGGAGAAGTACGGAGAGATTGAGGAGATGAACGTCTGCGACAACTTGGGAGATCACCTGGTCGGAAACGTCTACATCAAGGTGAGCTCTTCGCCTGCGCAGTGCCACGTAGAGGCGTCGCTCTGCATACCACTGCACGACACGCTGCCATTGCTCTGAGGAGTGTCTTAGGCTGATGCTTACTTTATTGAATACTGTAATAACACAAAGGTATTGTTGTTGCTTGTGGCCAAATTATGCAGACTACATCCGTTCTTGTCACGTCTGCGAAGCTAACTAGAGTTGATCCTGGGTAATGCTTGGATGGGCTGGGCGACCACCATGCACCAACAGGTTGCCATAGGGCTACGAGGCTTACACTGGGCAGCAGAGAGGGCAGTGCATGTGACTCTGTGCAACAAAGATCAGAGGGCACGTACAGTTGGAGCCAGACAAACACACAGACATATGATCAAACAAAGGGAGGAAAACAAATACACCACAAACATGACATACCAAGGTTGATATAGGGCACAGCACAGACTCACTAATGATTTGCGTAATGTTTTCAAAATCACTCGGAATGTGCCCAATCTCGGAAGGGAAGCATCATTGTTAGTACTCGGATGGGTCATCGCTGTGCACGGCAAATTGTTATGGGTTGTGGAGCTTTGTGATGGGAAGTAAAGGCCAGTGCAACTAAAACAATTGTTCTACTTTACTTCTTGGCTGCCACGTCTATCCTTCCTGTCTTGGCTAACCTCCACCGACCAGCGGGGTTAAAGTATGGTCACAGATAACCACCGTGTTTAAATGGTGTGGGGAGGCCCTCATTCAGCAGTACATTGTCTTTAGGAATGCCATAAACACGTTAGAATTAATACGTTATTACATTACATTTTGAATAATATCTCACAGAATTATGGTTACTTGACAAAAGTGGTTATGGGCAAAGTTACCAATTTGTGTGTGTCCGTCTGTGCTTGTGTGTGGCCATTTGTAGTTCCACTCTGAGGAGGATGCAGAAAAGGCCGTCAACGACCTCAACAACCGTTGGTTCAACGGGCAGCCCATCCAGGCAGAGCTCTCTCCCGTCACCGACTTCCGGGAGGCCTGCTGCCGCCAATACGAGATGGGGTGAGTCGCACCTGCAGACTCTCCCATATTGGAACTCGCTGCGGAAGCCTTTTAGTCGTCGTACTTATGTTGCCCGTCTTTACCTGTTTTTAGTTTTTGCGTTATTTATGTTTGACTTATTCTAAAAGGTAACCATGTGTGACTGAGCCACAATCGTTGCTGTGAGCTCTGAAATGTCCTTGACCGTGTTATCTAATGGACTTTTGTTCCGCTGCCTGCTTGTTTTTGGTATCTGTAGGGAGTGCACACGTGGAGGCTTTTGCAACTTCATGCACCTCAAGCCCATCTCTCGCGAGCTGCGTCGGGAGCTGTATGGACGTGGCAAGCGCAAGCGGTAATTACCAACACGATATACAAGCACATATTTTGTTCCAATGAGCGTTTGTGTACTTGAAAGAACAGAGTGATTTCCCGATGCTAAATTCTACAAATACTTGTGCAGTCGTTCAGATGAGGGCCTGCCAACACCGTGCAGGTTGTGACGCTTATTTGACTGTTTTTCACGCTGGTCACTGTTTGGGTTTGTGAAGATGTTGGGTCATGGATGTGGGAGCATACACTTCATCACTTCTCTCTGCTGCCCATTACCTAGCTTGGCAGCTTATAACAACCTCGTGTGCATTGTTTAATGCATGGTCACCCATCTAAGGACTGTAGGCTCAAGCTCCCAAAATCGAATTCATTCTGGGTAATTTTGGCCTTGGTTCCAAATGCAAAAATTTGGGGACTTGCAAAGTTTAACTATGAAGACGCTATCGTAGCTGAAACATAAGTTGCAGAGTTGGACAAGATGACTAGAGAATAAATGTTAATTTCTGCATTTTGTGGTCTGTATATCCTAAAAATAGCTGTGAACTGAGAATACATTTGAAACTGGAAACTATATTTTGTTCCAATAGAGCAGGCGCTAACAGCTGGTGCAGTTAAATCCAGTTAATGACCAATGCTTTGAGATAATCTGAATGCAGCCATTAAGTATGTACCTTCGCAACTAAAACCACCAAAATGTGCGTAACCTACCACATACCTGGTTGGGTAACTTTGATGCAAAAACTAGCAAAAAGAATGTGTTTGTAGTGGACGGGCGGCAGGTAAGCATTGGTGTGCGTGCGTGCGCGTGTACAGACGCCGTTCCCGGTCACGCTCGCGGGAACGCCGTCGCTCTCGCTCCAAGGAACGGCGCCCGGACCGCAGCCGTGAGAGACGTCGTTCCAAGGAGCGCGCCGGCCGCTTCTGAAGCAGTGGCTTCCTTCCCTCCCCTTCTTTAGCTCCCTCCCTCTCTCGCTTGCTGGCTCCCTTCCTCACCCCATCCCTCACTCCTTTTATCCCTCGCTCTCTTTCTTGCCTCATTCCTCACTCCCTCAATCGCTCCCTCCCCGAGGTCGCAAACGGGTTTTGATTCCTTACCCGTACCCGGCCGCACCAGGGTCGCAAACGGGTACCCGTACCCGGCCATGTACGGGTAGCCGGGTATTGGGTAGGGTACGGGTATCGGGTCCCCGATTGCGACCTCTGCTCCCTCCCTCCCTCCCTCCCATGCTTCCTCCCTCTCTCGCAGCCTTCCTTGCTCACCTCCCTCACTCATTCCGCCCCATCCCCCCCAACTCGCTCCCTTGTTTGTTTACGAGAGAGCAGATTTTACGTAAACTACCAGGGCTGCAAAGGGCTTCTGTCTGCACGTGCACACTCGCAAGCACGACAGCCCGCAAGGCAATTTCTGTACAAATACGAGCGTTATACATGCCGCTCCCCACGTGAGCATCCGTTTTTACCGATACCATCTTCACACCACGCATGCGTGCACACACTTTCCGAGGCCGATCTTGAAGGTTGCAGGTTTAACTCAAGGTTGCGCCAAAGAAAGTTTGGCTGACTTAACTTGGGTCCCTTTGGCTCCCAGCGGCCGGTTGCAGTGGCCGACCTGCAGTGTTGTGTAACGCAAGTTAATTTGTATTCATCGCGAATGAAACAGTTTAACCTTGACTTCAAACCTGCAGTCTTGTTAATTTAAAATGTTGAGTCATACCCCAGCAGTTAGTGTGTGTTGCGTGTTAAACAGTCTAACATGTAGCGTCTGTGTAAGTTGCACTGCGTTGTAGGATTTCATTATAAAATCATAAAAGACCAAAAAACTGACTGTTTTCCTCTTTTTATTTGCCATTAAGAGAACGTCGCGTGTGTTGTTAATTTTGTATCTGGAGTAATCCACGAATAAAGGCCCATTTGGTGCCGTATGGTTTCCGTCTAAAGTGGATCTATAGCACGATTTCAAGTGTAGTGTGCATTGAAGGATAGAAACCAATAGCAAGACATTTTATGCGTGTACGTTCTCCGAATGAATGGTAACTGCAATAAAACGGATGATTATATAGGTTATGTATGTTGAACTTATTTCGCACGGTACATAGCCAAACGTGCTAATCGGAGGTGGGGCTAAGGACAAACTAAAAACCAAAAGTTTCAAAGAAATGAGTTTTAAATATAGATTTAAAATTTTATATAAGCGAACGATTGCATGGAAAAGAAACCACAATTTAAACTGCAATAATTTTCAAGCTTCCCATAGTTGGGCCTTTTAAGCCTGGATAACTTGTAAGGCAGCCTCTTGTAATTTTCAGAGGCAATTTGTGGTCTTGATGTCTTCTATCATGTTCAGGACCATGTTCACGGACTGACGCCCCAACATGTACGTCTGACTGAAACACAGGTGCACAGAATTCACGCCATTCGTTACCGATGTGGGTCTTCCTAGTTCAGAACATTGATTGAAAGTGCTTTAACTATACAACAATATTGACAATAGAATATGCATGTAGGATTTTTAGGATTAAAAAGTGCTACGATATTAATTTCCACCACCATAAAACGGTTAATATTTTTTGGAGGGCTCGACAAAGGAGGCTGTGGTCTCAAAAACCTACATTAATCCAGCCCTGGTCACAGCACACATTACAAGCTGTGAAGTTTCAGTGTTTAGAGAAAACTGGTATTGAGATAAAGTGCCAAGCTGTGTTATCAGAACACAGCTGTTTGGCGCAGTGTTCGCTGTTAGGTTGTGATGTTGTGAAAGGAGGAGTCCACAAGATGTTATGTCGGTTGCCACGTGGCCCTTGGGAACTTCCCCTCAGTGAATTCTACTCTCTGGGCCCACTTTTTTTAGCCCTTGCCCTTTCTGAATTTAAAATTAAGTTTGATTTGTGACATGGATGGCCCCGTTTAGCCAGTTACCCAGTTATTTGTTACAACGGGGGATCCGTGGTGCGTGAGCACAGCAGCAGCAATAAAATGACAGACATCAATGTTGCAGAAAATTAGTACGGGGTGCTTAAGGGAGATGTACATAATTGTCAACGAGGTGTTTTAATGGTCGTAAAGGAAACGAGTGAATCAAAAACAAAACTGCTCATTGAATGGGAGCAAAAGGTGCCAGAAAACAAGTTAGGTACAAATTGCAAGTAAGCTCCGTTTTGGTTTTTTAAGGGAAATAAAAGAGGGGAAGTGCAGGGGGGGGGGGGGGAACCAAGCTGTAGGTGAGGGACAAGGGGATTTGTCATGAACGTGGTGCGGCAGCGCGTAAGGACACTACCGGTGTTTTAGCAGGTGGAATTGTGAGTCGGAATGAGGAGGCGCTTCTGAGGCCATGGGAGGGAGAGGGTCTAAATGATGTGGGTAATTCATCTTCTTGGTTTTTTCGGTAAAGTCACGTAGAATGGAAATAATAAAAAATAAAACAAAATGATTTTATGTTTAAAATGATTTTATGTTTTATTTTTATTACTTTATTATTTCCATTCTACGTGACTTTACCGAAAGAACCAAGAAGATGAATCCCTGCAGTCACGAAAGCTTTAAATCGAAAGATATGGGTAATTGTTGGATTTTTTTTAACAGGACCTTTAGGATGAAGATAGCCCAATGGTGGCCTCCCCAGATATCCAGGGGCCAGATTTGAGTTCATGTTTTGGTTGCGATAGTGAGTTCGATAGGGGGAGGGTCAAGGGGCAACACGTAGAGAGCGAAGTGGAACAGTGGAGTGAGAAGTTTTAATGAGATTCAGAATTTAGGAGGTAGATGGTGTTACAAAAATCAAGTATGCGCTGGATGGTGGCTTTATATTTCGACGGAATCGAGGTGTAATAACTGGACAGCATTGGTTTCTGTATAGGAATCCAATGTTGGGTTTCATCTTATTGGCCATGTGGTCAATGTGGTTCTTGAAAGACCGTTTTGAGTCCAGGATAAAGCCGAGAGAGTTTAAGTTATCAACCTGCTCAGTAAGGTGCGAGTCCAGAGCCGCAACGTACATAGGTGGAGAGACATCCAGAGAATAACATGACTTTCGTCTTTTTAGAGTTGAGGTTAACGAAGTCCTCTTGTTGATGCCCTTATAACTCCTTTATGGAATTTCCGGTGGCCATCAGAGCTCTGTGGGTCTTAAAGTTGGTGACGTTCCCCAGACAAAACCCCAGATTATAAGAGAGATCTCAAATTCAAACAAAGGAGGTTATCGCATTCTAGATTTGAAGCTTTCGTGACTGCAAGAATTCATACTTTTAGGTTTTTTCGGTAAAGTCACGTCGGTAAAAAAAGAAGTAATGAAATAAATAATAAAATAATGGGACATAATAATAATAGAAATCTAATAATAAATCGCTATTTCTATTTTTTTTTTATTATTTTGATTATTTATTTTTATTCTTTATTTTTTACCTACGTGACTTTACCGAATAAACCTAAGAGTGTGAGGTTATCGCAGGCTGCTGCGATTCAAGTTACAATTCAACGTCGCCAAAGAGGGTATTTTTAAAAAATAGCGCCCTAAATTAATGGAAACATTTTTAATTTAGAAGGATAGTACACTGAAAGTGGGGGGGGGGGGGGATTAATATGTACCTGGTTTGCCCCATATTGAGTTCGGTAACAGCGTAATTGACGGTCATCTGATGCCCTCTATTGTACTATCATCAGAGTGGCACTTGCAAAAATAATTATTGTGTAACGCTCATGAACCTGACTGCATTTAAAGTGTCTGGTTATGTATGTACTGTATGCGTGTTGAACTTCTTTCGCACCGTACGTAGCCAACAGTGCTAATCAGAGGTGCGGGATGGAGGCTTTTCCCGTCAAAGCAGTTACTCACTGAAGCTTCTCTACCACGGGAGACTCGAAGATGCCCGTGATCACACGCAGGACCCCCTCCTCGATGGAGCGAAAGCCTGACTTCACAGTCTTCCTCAGTGCCTCTTGGTTTAGGGGCAGTTTGGCTGCCATGCCTAGGGTGGGAGAGGAACGGGGAGGGGTGAGGGAAGCAAATTCCTTTGTCAAGGCGCTCTTCCTCCTCTAACCCAGCTTAAATATACGCTGCCAAGCTTGGTGGTTTTCATTCAGACGCTGTCTTTCCGACAGACATGTTCTTCACCTGAGGACGGCTGCTTGCGTTGTGGCCGAAACGTCGTGAGAATTATTTTATTATGTTTTATTTTTATTATTTTATTATTTCCCTTCTACGTGACTTTACCGAAAGAACCAAGAAGGTGAAGGAAGCTGATAAGGTTTTGTGGGGGCTGTGGTAGAGTGAGACAATGTGAAATTTAAACAAGCAGCCACAATTATGAAACTTTTTTTTTCTTTGCAGGGGGGTTAGGCCACAATGATCGACCACATTTGTGTCGTAAATACCCTCCGCCACACGACACAGCCAAACTTTGAATTGTCACGTGTACAAGCATGTCGCGCGCTAAGAATGAATCGCAACCAAATCAGCAATTATAATCGAAGTAAGGCCACAATGATCCGGCCAAACGTCGACTCAGCCTCAAATGAGTGCACGGCAGCGATGTGTAAACATGTGTAAACATCTCCGTAATGCTGGCGCACCCACCCCCTCGTGTGCCATGCGGCCGTCAGAGGTGCTCATCACACATCACTTGCCCCAACAGTCCGTTGTGTCCATACGGGTGATCTTTGTCTTTGTACACACAAATCGCATAAGCACAGCTAACGGTGCGTTTAAACTTCAACATGTGAACTACCCATATTAATTATCCACAATAAAGGTTTGATTAACGGTCAATTGTCGTCTACACACATCAACGTGCGTGCATGAGTGAGTGGTATTGTCAAAACATCTCAATTTGGAGCCACTTGAAGATGACTCTCGAGACCTCAGCGAGGCCACGTCCTCGGTGAATAATTGGCGTACGTAGTCGCTGTCGTGTTATGTTCCTTTCAATTGCTATCATTATTCACGTTTGTGTGGAAGCAACCGTTCAATCACACCTCTGGTAGATTATCCTTAAATCGGTGTTATAATTGCACAGCATAATTTTTATCTTAATTATATAGTACTGTCGATGGAAGCATAATTATTTATACATTCCTGTGCATTTGTGAATTTAATTAAAACACATATTTTTTTTTACCATTAATCTAATGGTAATAATGCCAAAGTTTCTTTTTACTGAAACTTCGTATATCTAATATTCGCATATCGAGGTATTTACTTTATAGGATGACTGAGGCTATGCAGTCCAGTACTCACCTGTAGTCAGAAAGCAGAACAGCAGCACGGCGAAGACCTCTGCTCGTGCCATGACTTCTCTGTCGCAATCACCTGAAAATAAACCACAGGAGGTTCCGAGCAGATGGCATCAAAACCAGATGACTCCCTGTCTCTTGTCATAATCATCTGTGGTGCGCTGTGGTGGTGGCGGCGTATTATGCACGTGGTGGCCCTTAATCCAGCACTGTGGATGATGACACGATTGATGCGAAACTCCCGAACCGGTGGGCATTGAGGTGCCATACCCCGGGTCTTTCCAGCAGACGGCAGTACAGCAAACACTGTACCCCACACGTTTGTCTTTGTGCACACACATCGCATAAGCACAGCAATGAAGTCCACCTTCCGCTAATGGTGCGTTTTAACTTCAACACGTGAACTACCCATATTAATTATCCACAATAAAGGTTTGAATAACGGTCAATTGTAGTTTGTGTGGGATAGTGTTTTAAACAGAACATTATTTTGTTTATTTTACCAGGTATGACCCACAGCTACGGAGCTCTTTTCAGAAGCGACCTGGTCATCACAAATGCCAGCTCGACGAAATGGCTTTATATCACGTGTACATTTATATTTCACCTGAAGACGATTACTTGTGCTGCGATCGAAACGTCGTAATTTATTATTATTTTTCTATCTACGTGACTTTACCGAAATACTCAAAGAG